TGAAGTCTCTCTTTATTCATTTATTTACTTGCTCATTCATTCACTCACTCAGTCCCTCATGCATTCACTCACTTATTCATTCATTCACTAACTCATTCATTCATTCACTAACTCATTCATTCATTCACTAACTCATTCATTCATTCATTCATTCATTCACTCAATGATTCAACAGATACAAACTGAGTGTCACTAGATGCTCCAGGCTGTGGGCTTATGAGCATGAACAGGAGATAAAGCCCCTGCCTCCATCGACCTTCTATTTTATGGGGAGAGGCAAACTGTGAGCCAATCAACACAGACACAGATCATGTGCCTTCAGGACCCGTCAGTGCGCTGAAGGGACTAGAAAGGGGCAGAGGATCCTTGGATGGGGTGGTCGGCAAAGACCTCTCCAAGGAGGCTCCATTTGGGAAAACACACATGAAACGAGGAAGGAATTCAGAAGCGCTGGGGAGAACGAGGGCAGGGCCTCGAGGCAGAAGCAGGTGGGCGAGGGGAGCGCGCCGGGCAAGCGGCAGACACCAGCTCCCTGGGAGCTGACCGTTTATTCGGACCAGGAGCAGAGGAGAGAGAGGGCTTTCAGCAGAGGAGTAATGTGACCTGAGTTCTTTTTTAAAAAAGTTTTTACCTTTATTGATTTTTAGAGAGAGAGGAAGGGAGAGGAAGAGAGATAGAAACATCGCTGAGAGAGAACATCGACTGGCCGCCTCCTGCACGCCCGCCACTGGGGATCAGCCCACAACCTGGGCATGTGCCCTGACCGGGAATTGAACCGGCGACCTCTTGGTGCAGGGTCGACGCTCCACCACTGAGCCACAAGGGCCGGGCAAGGTGAACCCTTGTGATAAGCTCGATTATCTAAGGAGCAGCAGGGCATCATGAGGGTCCTGGCTGCCGCCTGCAAGGCAGGTGCAACACCTGAGCCTGGCTGCTGTCACTCAAGGAGCAAAGGGGGGGCGCTGCTCTTCCTCAAGGCTTATCAGGTAGTCACTGCGCATCGGCTGCAGGACTTGGTGGCCTTCCCCCCGCGTCCTCATCCTCACACTGGGGTGTGGGATCACCCATCAGGTGCGTCATAGTCACAGGTGCGTCATAGTCACAAAGCCTTCATATCTGAATCCCCCACCTGAACCCTAATTTGACGGTATCAGAAAACAATGAGGGTTAAATGAGGTTGTGCGGTCATGGGGCTTTCATGAAGGGATTAGTGCCTTTATAAGAAGAGACAGCCCTGGCCGGTTTGGCTCAGCGGGTAGAGCGTCGGCCTGCGGTCCAGAGAGACCCGGGTTCGGTTCCCGCTAAGGGCACGTACCTCGGTTGCAGTTTGTCCCCGGCCCTGGTTGGTCGTGCGGGTGGCAGCCACTCGATGTGTCCCTTTCACGTCGATGTTTCTCTCTCTCTCTCCCTCCCTCTCTATCTGAACAAAAAATGGAGAAATGTCCTCGGGTGAGGATAAAGAAAAAGGAAGGACCAGCTGCCCTCTGCGGGTTCTCTTTCCCCGACTCCCGCTTCCCTCTTCCTTCAGCCCCTGCCCCTGCCCCGGGAGGACAGAGGAAGGGGCCATCTGCACACAGGAGCGTCCTCGCCAAGAACGGAGCCAGTGGCACTTGGATCTCGCCCTGCCCAGCCTCCTGCACTGCGAGAAGTAAACGTGGGTCGTCCAGGCCTGTTACCCGTCTCGGCGGCCCAGACTGACACGTCATTAAGCTATTCCCCTTTGTCCCTCTGCTGTTGACAAACGAAATCCACCTGCGTAGATCTGAAGATCTAGTTGCCTTGTTGAGTGATTCCTGAATGGGGCAGCAGCCCCCCGGGCAGCTCGTCTGAGGTGCTGGACGCCGTGGACGGTTTTCAGGGGAGAAGGGGAGGGTTAGGGAACTGTTAACAAGAGAAAAGACCAGAACATTTCTTTGGGGGGAAGGAAATGGCAAAGGTGCCTTCATTCTATGGGGATGGGCAAGGGCCCATGTGACAGATGCCCTGCAGGTGCTTGACCAGAAACTCCAGCTGGTCAGCCCTCTGTTTTGGGAGGGGCTGAAACAGCAGGGAGGTCTGGGTTGGCACGGTGGGCACCCTGGGCCCGTGGTTTTCTCGGGAACTCTGCCGTCTACTCCCGCCGTGTGTGGAAGCTCAGTCTCTTTCATAGAACTGATCGCTGATTGTAACAATGTAGCTGTTAGTCTATTAGCTGATGTTTATCTTCATAACCAGACAGTGCCCCGGGTGAATCCGTGCCTCTCCTGGCCACCACTCTGGACCCAGGGCTGTGCCCATGCCTGGCCCATGCTGGTGATTAGGAAGATGCCAGAAATGTGTCCACACTGGTCTCTCTGCGTTCTCCTCGTCCCTTCCGACTCTCGCCAAGTTCACCTTCTTAAAACGCCAGTTTCACCCAAACCAGCCTGCCTTGTGCTAACGGGGTCTCCCACCCTCTTTGAATGTGTATGGGAACTCGGAGAAGTTCAGGTCAAGCTTTTAGTGAGGACAGATGCTGTGGGTCATTAATAAAAACGTCCTTAATTTTGAATTGTGGACTTGCTTTAAGAGAAACCCCCAAACTCATGATCACGACAGGAAATAGATGAGTCATGTTTCCCACTACTTCGAGCCCTCTGGTTGGGGCTTGATAATATCAGCACTGATTACGTGAACCTGCCTTGTCGGGTTAATAGGGTGCTGCCCCAGGTAGGGCGAGGCCACCGTGTCCTCTTCGCCAGTCACAGGTGGGGCTCCCAGAACTCCCACGAGCAGTGCGGTGTGGGCTCTGGGGGGGACCCACCATTCCCAGAGGGGGTGTGCACGGGGAGTGGGAGGGGAGGGGCAGAGTTTTTGGGGAACAGAGGGCAGACTGACTAGAGCTGTTTACAAAGTTGGGAAAACACAGTTCAGTAGAATTTCCTCTTCAAAGTTCATCCATTTCCCCTCTCTCCTCAGCAAGAGGAAGTTCCGTTAGCTCATAGAAGTGCAGAATCACCCCCTCCTGGGCCTGGAAAAGCCCGGCAGGTGGTCAGTTGGTTCAGTCACCGCTCGGGGACTTTAATCCAGCTTCCCGAGAAGCCGCGCCTGCCCGCCGGCTGTTTGCAAGAGGCCTCCTGGTCCCCTGTGCTGGGCAGGGCCTCTCTCCACGGGGGCTGGGGCTGCGGCCGGAGGTCCACCCTGGATCCCGTCTCCTGGCCGCTGCTCTGCCGTCCCTGACCTTGGTGCCCCTGTTCTCCGACTGTCCCCCTCTGGGCCCGTGTCCATCCCCTTGCCGTCCCTGACCTTGGTGCCCCTGTTCTCCGACTGTGTCCCCCTCTGGGCCCGTGTCCATCCCCCCTGCTGTCCCTGACCTTGGTGCCCTGTTCTCCGACTGTCCCCCTCTGGGCCCGTGTCCATCCCCCCTGCCGTCCCTGACCTTGGTGCCCCTGTTCTCCAACTGTGTCCCCCTCTGGGCCCACGTTCATCCCCCTGCCGTCCCTGACCTTGGTGCCCTGTTCTCCGACTGTCCCCCTCTGGGCCCGTGTTCATCCCCCTGCTGTCCCTGACCTTGGTGCCCTGTTCTCCGACTGTGTCGCCCTCTGGGCCCACGTTCATCCCCCTGCTGTCCCTCACCTTGGTGCCCTGTTCTCCGACTGTGTTCCCCTCTGGGCCCGTGTTCATCCCCCTGCCGTCCCTGACCTTGGTGCCCTGTTCTCCGACTGTGTCCCCCTCTGGGCCCGTGTCCATCCCACCTGCTGTCCCTGACCTTGGTGCCCTGTTCTCCGACTGTGTCCCCCTCTGGGCCCGTGTTCATCCCCCTGCCGTCCCTGACCTTGGTGCCCCTGTTCTCCGACTTCCAGGACAGAGTGGCAGAGGACACACCTCTTACCATCTGACAAGAGGCCTCCAGGGCACAGGTCTGAGCAGGTCCCAAAAGGTGTGATATTAGTCAAATTCTCTGAAGGCAACAGGATCCGCGCTTCCCCAGAACTGGTTCTCTCGGGGTGAAAGGGGAACAGACAAGGTGTCCCCAGTCACCTCCTCAAGGACACAGGCTGGGACAAGGAGCAAAGAGCACTGGAGGCTGGGGCCGCTCTGGATGTGCGCCACTTGCTGGGCCGAGTGTGGGGAGTGTGTCAAAACCACACGTGTGGCTTTTCGTGGAAGGAGCAGGGTGCCTTCCGAACGCTATGCAGATGCTCTCCGCACTTAGAGAAACACCCACGACGCGCCCAGGGCCGGGGAGCAGGTGGCTCCGGGGACATCTGCTTGGCCGGCAGGGAGGGGCCGCCAGGTCTCCGCTCCCAGTTGTAAGAATTTACGCACAAGTCATTGTTACACTGACCAGTTTCCTTTAGCCCCCAGCACGCTCCCCCCGCATGCTGTCATCTCCAGTCCCTTCCGCGGTCGCTTTCATGACATTACACACACACTTTCCAGTCCCTTCCGTGGTCACACACGTTCACTGCGGACATTTTCATTCTCTCTCTCATGTTCACCCTTTTCCAAGAAAAACTGTCCGGTTCCCTGTGATCCCCATGTCCCCTGCACGGTGTGAAACTCTTTTTTTTTTTATCCTCACCTCAGGACACTTTAGCATTTATCCTCAGACAGAATGGGAGAGGGAGAGGGAAAGAGAGAAACATTGACTGCCACCCACATGCCACCCACATGACCCCAACACTGCCGGGGACAAAGTGCAACCGAGGTACGTGCCCTTAGCGGGAACCGAACCCGGGTCTCTCTGGTCCACAGGCTGATGTGCCAACCGCCGAGCCAAAGCGGCCAGGGCTCCGTGTGAACTCTTCACGTGTGATGTCGCTCAACCCGCGTGACATCCCCACGCGAAATCACTATCCCAGTTTACAGAGGGGGGCATTGGAATTCAGAAAGGACCAGTCATCAGCCCAGAGTCAGAGACCCCACGTGCTAGCCGAGGACTGTCCCGGCCTCTGGTCCTCAGGCCACGCCCCACACCTCGCCCACCGCCCCCTCAGTCCTCAGCAAGGGAGGCCTCCCCCCGCTGCTGTGCCATCGGAAACCTGGCTGGTCACACGATTCCTGCGGTCCTGACCATTTATTGGGGTAAGAAACGGCAGCGCCCGTGTACAGAGCCGCGCGCCCAGGGCACGTCCACCCCACGTCCCCGGCAGTGAGACCGACGAGGACCAGGGACTTTCCCAAGGTCACACGGCAAGAAACAGTGGAGTCGAGCTGGGACTTCTGGGCTCTCCAAATACCCAGAATTCTTTGGCTGGACTATGCAGCCTCTTCAATAAATAAAACAAGAAAATAAATATGTAAACCTTCCTGGAGAGTCTGAGGCGTGGTCCCTGAAGCCTGAGTTTCCAGAGCGAGCTGTTAGCAGGTTGGCAGCTGGAGCCTCCTGCAGACGGGGGGGTCCTGGCTGGACTCCCCCCACAATGTCTATTCCCAGAATGCCCCCGAGACAGGCAGGCCGTGGGTGACTCGGGGGGCCCTGCCGTCACTCCTCCAGTCCCTCGTCCATGGACTGTAAACGGCTTTGAGCTCACATTCCACACTCACTGGGAGCGGGGCCCACACCTGCCCCTCTGCCCCAGTGCCCGCAGCTCTCTGGCGCGGTCACGGGCTTCTGCCCCTCCGTGGCCTCAGCACGAGGCAGGAGCTGGGTCTGCACAGACACAGCACCCAGCTCCCTCCCCAGCCCCGCGCAGACACGCTTGGCAGCCCCCCTCAGGGCCAGCTTCGCCAACATCCAGCCTGCAGCGCCCTTCACCCACTGCTGGGGCAGCAGAGCCCGGGGAAGTGGCTGCCCAAGGTCACGCAGCTGACCCGGACAGCGGGGGTGGCGGCCGAGGCCGGTTCCTGAGGCTGAGCCGAGGGCGCAGCACACACAGGGCCAGGTCCCGACCCGGACCCCGGGGCAGACAAGCCGGCGTCCAAACCCAGAGGCTCCCGGGGGGCTGTTTCGACCACCGCGAGCAGCCGTGGTTTCTCTTGTTCTGTCAGCAAATGATGGGGCGGCGGGTGGGGTCCCTGAGGGGCTCGGCCACTGCGGGTACCTCGGGGGGCCCCTGCTCCATTTGCTGAAGGAGGGAAATGCCTGTCTGTGCACAAGAGACATCCCCGGAGCATGAGCCAGAGCCCCCTTTTGGGTCTCAGCTCCTTTTGTCCCCCCCGAGGCTCCATAACGGAGGCTGACTGACTGGCGGACCAGGGCAGACACCCCGAAAGGTCTTCCAGGACACGCTCCCTCCCCAGGAGGCCTGCCGGAGAGGGGGCTTCTCCGTGCGACCGCTCCAGGCCAGCTGGTGGTCAGCTGAGCATCCAGAGATCATCCCTGGTCACTGCTCCCTCCTTTCCCCCTAGAGACGACCCCAGCGGTGGGGCCCTGACACCTGGCTGGCTTGAGGGGGGAGCCTGGCTCTGAGCTGACCTCAGCCGGTGACCTCGCCACAGCCCCGGAACACCCCACGACTCCCTGAGCAGATGCTCCTTATCAGACGGGAGCTTCCCGGGGCCAGTGTGCTCTGCTCCTCCGCGCGCCCGAGTCCGCAGGGCCCCAGCCGTGCTCGTCTGTACATGGGGAGCCCGCCTGCCTGGCCCTGTGCACCCTGCTGGGCCCACTGGCCTGGCACCGTGCTTCACTCCTGATCCGGGCCCGGGCCCAGGCGGGACGTGGCTGACGTGAAAACAGCCCTCAGTCCGAGTCACTCACTGCAGTGCAGACTGCAGATCAGCGGCTGGGTGACCAGGTCGGAGTCAAAGGTGCCCAGGAGACCGCCCGGGGCTGCCACACAGTCCAGAGGGGCAAGGTCGTGGGCAAAGCTCCAGGCGGCGGTTCCTAGGTCCTCGCAGCTGGTCAAGCCCAGGAGTGCCCACTCCTCAGCTGGGGGGTTCCACTGTCCAGTTGGGGGCGCTGAAGGAGCGAGCGTCACTTCTGGGGGACCCTGTTTCAAGTAACCCTTGACCAGGGCTGGCGACCAGGCTCCCTCGGCAGCCAGGCACGTCCTGATCTGGGGGCCAAAGCCATCTGGTGAAGAGGACGCTTCCGCCGGACAGCCCGCCTCGGCTGCCTTCTCCTCCGCGTCTCTGGATTGTTTCAGGTAGCCCTGAAATGCCACCACAGCCGGGTCTTCCTCCTCCGCCACTTCGGGCCCCGAGGCTGAGCCGAGCTGCGGCTCCCCGGGCGGCCGCTCGGAGCTCGGGGCCAGGCCGATGCCGCTGTCGTCCCGGCCCTGGCCCCCGCGCCCCGTGCCCGCGCTCAGGCCGGGCTCCTGCAGGCAGATGCCGCTGTCTGTGCTGCCGCCGCCGCTGCTGCTGCTGCTGCTCTCCTCCAGCTCCAGGGACGCCCCCGGCGTGCCCCCCGCCTGAGGATGGGGGGCGGGGAGGAGGGACTCGGGCTCCTCCGTCTGCAGGGACGGCTTGGCACTGCCGAAGCCACTGTCGGCGCTGCCGTGCAGCTCAGAGTTCCTCAGCTCCAGGGACACCTTGGGGAGGGCCTCCTCGTCGATGGGATGGATGGTGTCCTTGGGCTCCAGGCGGGGGAGCTGACTGGCGATGCTGAAGGGGCTGGGCCTCCCGAACACCTGCAGAGGAGAGGGCAGAGAGGGTCAGGCCGAGGGTCACCTGGAGGGGCCACCCATGTCGCCAGGCCACGAGGGGAACTCGGAGGGGGTGCTCCGAGACAGGGCGCGGGCCTGGGGCACACGGCCACCTGCTCCTGGTGCTTCGTGTCGGAGCTGAGATGTCTTCCTAAGAAACTCTCCGCTCAGCTCAGACCCACGGTGTAAGCAGCCTGTGCTCCTGGAGCCCAGACGGACGGCAGGCCGCCGGGGTGGAATGTTCTCAGTGGCCCTGCGTTTCCACCCCGCCAGCGGGCCGGACCCATGTGGACCTAAACGTGTGTCCAAACTCTTCAGACTGTGACCCCAAGTATGAGATGTGTTCCATAACCACCTGTATAGAAGTATCCCGTACATATATAACTCCTATGTGAATGACTAACACCAGCTTCACAAATACTCATTACCACCTGTACACAGTGGTCTGTTCTGTTCTGTTCTATCCTACCCCACTCCACCCCATCCCACCCCATCCCTATTTGTTTTTAAAATGCTCGATGTGCCCTGGCTGGTTTGGCTCAGCGGTTAGAGCGTCAGCCTGCGGTACGAAGAGACCCGGGTTCGGTTCCCGCTAAGGGCGTGTACCTTGGTTGCAGTTTGTCCCCGGCCCTGGTTGGGTCGTGCGGGTGGCAGCCACTCGATGTGTCCCTTTCTCATCCATGTTTCTCTCTCTCCCTCCCACTCTATCTGAATAAAAAATGGAAAAGTGCATCAATCAATAAATAAAATGCTCGATGTGAGACACCAAATTAATTTCTCCACTCCTGGAGCTGTGACCCGCACAAACCTAGGGGGTGGGGTGCAGTGGGGGACAGCAGGACAAGCACAGAACCGGTAGCTGAGGAGGGCATGAACTGCCGAGGAGCCCCGGGAAACCCCTTAACGCTGGCTCCTCTGGCCCAGCCGCGTGGTGTTCTTTCTGCCTGGGAACACAGCTGCGCAGTGCTGTCTCAGGGCCTTTGCACATGCTAGACTCTCTCTGGCTGGAAGGCTCTTCTCAGGGCTCTGTATGGGTGTGTCCTTCAGGTCTCAGCTCAGATGTCCCCTCTTCAGAGAGGCCCTCCTGATCACCCCCACACACTCCCTACATCAACCTAGTTGACTTCTTTCCAGCCCTTAGTTTCTCAAATTACGCTTTCATCCACGCCCCGCGCCAACACGTACGAACGCGCACAGTATCCCCACCCCCAGCAGTACGCACGCTCCTCCAGGCCGCTGCTCTCCGGTCCCGTTTGCCACTCTGTTTGCAAACCCCACTGAGCTTCGCGGGGGATGCTCACTGTCGACTGAGTGTTGCACAGTTGACATCATTCCTGCGTACGTGGTAACTCTAGCTCGGCTCATGGGCTGAGTTCCTGCTGATACTACGTAGCTTGGTAATTACAGGTGTGCATTCCAGAGCCAGCCTGCACGGGTGCAGCTCCCAGCTCTGCCTCTTAACAGCTGCATCGCTTTGGCCACATCAGTCTCCCTCTCTGTGCTTGTGTCCCTCGCCTGCAAAGTGGAGACAGAGACAGGATCTGCCTCCGCCTGCGGCGGTTCAAGGACGTGCCGCGTGTAGAACCGCGCTCGGTACCTATTGGTGGCTGTGCAGTAGTTCTCTAAGGAAGTAGTATTACCTCTATTTCTTTCTCTTTTTTTTTTTTGAGAGAGAGAGAGGAAGGAAGAGGGAGAGAGAGAGAGAGAGACATCGATGAGAGAGAACATCGATTGGCCGCCTCCTGCAAGCCCCCCACTGAGGATCTGGCCCACAACCTGGGCGTGTGCCCTGACCGGGAATCAAACTGGCGACCTCCTGGGGCAGGGTCGACGCTCAACCACTGAGCCACACCGGCCGCACTATAATCTCTATTTCTTAAAGGAGAAAATGAAGCCGCAGAGAAGTAGTTTGCCCAAAGCCACGCGGCAGCAAAGAACAAACCTGGAATTTGTACGCAACCACCCTGATTTGAGTGTCCACTTGTCCAATAGTATGTGCCTGGACACACAGTCGAAAGACCAGATGGAGGCAGCTCGTGAGAATGAGCTATGGAGCGTCAGAGTGCCGCCTGCCACCAGCCATTCGTGAAGTCAGCGATGACCGTGGCGTGAGACCAAGGCCTGGGGCTCGGTTTGCCCGGAGGAGGGAGACTCTCCAGGGCAGCCCAGTTCTGTGCCCCACACGGACGGAAGGCGCAGGAAGCCAGAGGCTGCCTGTCAGTCATCCCCTTCGGCACCTGTGTCTGTCTCACTGGTGTGTGCTGACGCCTGGCGTGCCAGGGGTGGTCGTAACGCAGTGAATTACACGCAGACCTGGCCGGGCCCCGAGAACGCATACTTCAAGGGTGTATTGTGTTCATCTGCTAAACCCCCATCCTGACAGGGTGCATTAAAGTGACGGCTGATACACTGGCCACTCCGCCCGCCGAAATCGAGCCCCTGGGTCAGTCTGCATGCGTTTGGCGCTCAGTGACGGCGGCTCGACGGCACCGCCTTCGCTTTCTTCCCGGGCGCCTTTCCCGGTGCCTGAGTAAAACGCCCCCTCCAGGGTCCTCGACCACCTCCTCACCCCTCGGCTTGCTAGTTGTCCATCCTGGGGGCAGGCCCTGTATACGCAGCTCCAGAAACCTGTCCTGGCTCTGGGCCCCGCGAAGCTATGCTCCAAGCACCGGCGCGCATCTGTGCACCGTGATGTGCTCAGAGCACGGGGAAGGAGCTCCGTCCGCAGCTGGACGCGGAGAAGCACTTCAGAAGCCCTGGGACTGTGGGGGCAGCGGTCCCAGGCTCCTCGTCCATCTGTCTCCCCAGGACCCTGCAGCTGGGACACACTCTCGCACTAGCTGGGCCAGGCCATGCTTCTCCCCTCCCCACGTCCTGGAGTTCTTCCTCCGAATAATTTCGGAGGGTCTTTGTCTCCCTCCTCGTTTTACCCAAACACCCTGCAGTCCCTCTGGAGGTCCCCTTGCAGCCGGAGGCCAGCCGGGGGGCACGTGGCGGACCAGCTGAGGTTGGAGGCGGGCGTACCGCGCGCGCGTGCATTGGTCAGCGCACGTGTCCTTCACGAACCCTCCTCGCCAGCATCTCACCTCCCCACCCTGCTCTCCCCCTCGGAGGGCAGCCCGGGGCCAGCACTTCCGGCCCTTTGTCCTCCTTCTTCCAGAACATTCTTCCAGCCAGCAGGCGGGGGAAAGACGGCTCCATCCCACCTCTCCCTGGCTGTGTGACCCCGTGCCTGTACAACCTCTCCATGCCTGTTTCCTCCCTTGTCAAATGCGGATGATCAATGTGCCGGGACCTGGTCCACGGCCAGTTACCAAACAGGAATGAGGTCACGTGTGGGGGTTGGGACCACTCAGCTGGATGGCATCTGGGCCACTACAAGGCGATGCTCTCAACTTCGCGCGCGAGTCCTCCCTCCATCCCGAGGGCGCCGGATGGCGGAGCCCGGGCTGAGGGAGGGGACTGTGTTCTGAGACCCTGGTGTGGCTGGGAAGGACGGGCAGTGCCTGCCCGGGACTCACCAGGACGGCGGGCAGCTTCTTCCTGCGCCGCACGTACAGCTGGAGGGCCAGCGTGTAGGCCAGGGCTCCGCAGAGCAGCAGCACCAAGATGAAGAAGATGCTCAGGTTGGTCACCGTGAAATCTGCAGGCCCAGAAAGAGGCACGTTGGCCGGGCACCGTGGCACAGGGAGGGGCAGACCTCGGGGAGCCCACTGCCTCAGGCTCCCCTGGACTACTCTAGCCATGTCCGGGTTCCCAGGGGTCCCTGCCTGGCCTCCCGACATCACTCAAGGACTTTCTCACGACACACTGACCGCCAGCTCTCGGTGCCCACCCAGAGCCAGGAGGGCTCGGCAGGTAAGCGCCGGGGGTCGGCAGCCAGACTCAGATCCAGATCCAAGCCCCCGCTCGCTAGCTGTGAGGCTGTGAACAAAGCACTCGCCCCTCTGGGCCTCAGTTTCCTCATCTACAGAATGGGCACATGAATGGTGCTTACTATGGTTGCGGAGTCCACAGCACCTACCACCTACCAAACCCTTTACCGACGTCGTCTGACCCTTATACCAACCTTAGGAGGGAAAGGCAATTATCATCCCTATTTTTATAGATTAGGATCCTGGGGTCCAGAGAGATTAAGTAGCTGGCCCACGGTCATACACCCCATTAGTGGGAGAAGGGGGATTTGAACCCAGACCTCTACACAAAGCTGTTTCTTACACCAGTGAGGGAATAGAAAAGCCCCTCAGGCACCTGCTTGCACGAGAGGGACCTTTGGTGAGAGTGTGAGCCCCTGAGTGGGCTGAAGGGCACTGGGAAGGTGTGCGGACTCGCTCCGGTCTCGGCTGGACCCTGCCACACCGGACCGGACACCCCCAGCACTGACTGCTGGCCTGAGTGGACAGTACACCCTGCCCCAGCCACACTATGAGCCCGAGGAACACTGTGCTCTCCGCACCCTGACCCCACCCAGGGCCCGGCTGAGAACCTGGCGTAGTGTTTACTGATTTAGCAGCTGTGTTGAGGGGTCAGCTGAGTCCTGTGCCCCCTGAGGGCAGGGGGGTGAGGGAGGCCTCCCGTGCCCCAGCTCTGAGAGAGGACGGCCGAGGACTGTCACAACCAGAGACCACTGCCGCTGGCTGGGGGGCCCTGGGGGTTCCTGGGGAGCCCCGCTGTGTTCAAGCGGAGGCGCTGCAGAATCAGGCGCTGCACCACGCCCCAGGAACCGTCTCCATGCAGAGGCTCAGTGTCCCCGTCTGCCAGTAGGGACACTGGGAGTCCCCCCTGGCACAGTCTGGCCCCAGCGCCTGTGGGGTCCTGCGAGGCCCTTCCCGCCCCTCCCGCCGGGACGCGGACGACCCACTCACACTTCGGGGAGAGCACCACGCACTCCTCCTCGGACCATATCCCCTCGTTCGTGCGGGAGCTCAAAGACGGCTTCACCTTGACACAGAACTTTCCCACGTGCCCTGGGGCTGGGAAGGTGAAGGTTTCATTCTGTACCTTGTTTTTGACCTGAAATGAAAATGAGAGCAGTAAACAAAATGCCCTTTTTCACAGAGAAGCCGAGAGCTGGGGGGGCCTTTAGAGAGGCCCCTGTACCATGGACACAGCCCACCACCTGCTTGTGTTCAAGGAGAGGGTGTGTTGTGAGGGCTGAGGGCCCCCCCAGAGGGGCTCGAGTGGACTGCAGTGGCGGAAAACGGGGTGCGTTTTGCAGATTCCAGATTCCACTTGTGGGGCGTCCTGGGGCAATGACAGCCCCTGGAGCCGCACCTCCCCGTCACACACTGGAGTGACAAGCACCTTCAAGTAGTCACACAATGTCTAACGTGTCTGGTGCGTTGCCTGACACCTGGTAGGCCGTGTCTTCCCTGCCACCTGGCAGGAGCACCAGCTTGAGGGCAGAGGTCACCTCATCGCCCTCCTGCGCCCCGGCAACGCCCCTCTGCCAGCCCCGACCGCGGGAGTCCCGTACCTCATAGTATCCCGGGTCCTTGCGGATGGCGATCTCATACTCTCGGAACTGCGGGAAGATGCTTTCGTACGTGTCGCCGGCGGGGGCCACCGTGGGCCGGGGAGGCTGGATGGTTCCCAGGATGGTGCCGTCACGTGTCTCCAGCGCCACGCCGCCAACGGTCAGTTTCACTGAGCAGAGAGGCGGAGCCGTGAGGCCTGTAGGCTGCGGAGGGCCTGGGCCGCACCCCTGCCTGGCCTCCAGCGTCAAGCTCTCCCCGCCCTAAAACCTGGGCCCCGATTTTCCAACCCAGCAGACCACTAGGACTTCCCAGGGAACATGTTGCAAATACAGGTGCCCCCGGTCCACTCAAGACGTAGTGAAAGTGCGTTTTTGAAGCCGGGCCCTGGAAATGGTGTAAACACACTCCCCGGGTAACGCTTCTGCAGACAGGCCTTTGGGAGCCCGTGACCTGGGTCACGCTAGACCGTCGGGTCGGTTCTGACTCTGAATTCTGCAGGGCAGGCTTGTCACATGCACAGAGCATGGTGGACCCCAAGCTGCAGAAGGGAAGAACCCCACGGAGCTTGGGGCTTATCCTTTTCTCTTAACTCCGCAAAGACGGACTTCCGACTCTTCCCAGGGGCGCCTCCCTGCTTTGGAGCTCAGCTCTTGGGCCTCGGGAGCCCGTCCCTGCCGGGTGGGGGCGGGGTGCTGATGCAAGGGGCCCGCTGCTCGCTTCCCTGCGCTGCCCACGGATCCGCTTCCTCTCCGAGGCCTGCAAGCACTCAGCTGCCCCTGTGACTCAGCGGCCTCAGCTTTCCCCGGAACTTCTCTTCTGGAGCCTCGAAACTCCCGTTCTCTTTGAAACCGTGAACAACTGGTCTGTGCTCATGTGAACCTTCTCCAGAGTCCTGACTCAGGCCTGTCTGGGCAGCGGGGCGCCCTGTCAGGACGCGGGCGGGCGCGGTGAGCTCCAGGACCTGGGCCACGGCTCTGGGCTTGGGCTTCTGGCCGGAAGGGACTCCAACAGCCGTGCCCTAGGCCCTGGGGAGGAAACGCACCTTCATCCTTGGAGAAGCGGGTGCTGCTGAGCGTCCAGTTGGAATGCTGGCCTCTGTCCACTGCCCGGACTTTGGCCCGGTAGCCATTGTTGTGGTACAGGTCGAGGGTCACCATGGTGAGGTCACAGGACAGCATCAGGGTCTGGTTACAGCTGGAGATGGACACCCAAAGCTCCGTCCCGTAACTGGGGAGATATCGGGGTAGGCATCACACTTTTGCTCAAACCCATCTCCTTTGAGAGGGGAGCAGGAGGCGGGGGAGAGAGCTGGCACGGTGGTACAGCCCTCAGGGCGTGATCTCCCACTCTGGGCATCTCGCTGCGGAGGTCGTGCCTTGGTTCGGGGACTGCACCCCTTCCTCCGTGGTCTAAGAGTCTCTGAGGCTAAACTATGAGTAGCTAGAAGCCCAGCGCCTCCAGGGAGACTTGCTACTCCCTGCGACACAGCCTGATTGTCCCCTCGCCCAACTACCTTGGCGGCCAGCGGGGTTTCCCTGTTGACTACGTTATGGATGCTTTTCCAGTAAGAGAAAAATCCTCCGGGAGAAGGCAGTATCACGGACTGCTCACGCCAGAGCTCCCAGAACACGACTCACACATACGAGACTCCATCGCACCCGCCCACGGATGGACATGTGCCAGGGTCCTTCCTGGGGTCACTTCAGGGACAAGGCCATGTCTCTGTGCCAGGGGCCCTGGGGCAGGCGCTCCCCTCCTCCCTCCCGTTCCTTACCTCATGAGTTCCACCTCATAGGAGGTGCTTTCAGACTGATTCTGGATGGGCGCCCAGTGGAGGACGTGGTGGAAAAACTCAGCTTCAAACCACACGGATGGGGGGCTGGGCAGTTCGCTCCCTGGGGAGAAGAGTGTCCGTATCAGAGCCGGCCGAGCCCACCCTCGGGGACGAGGATGCCGATGGCGACCATTTTAACAGCTCCCACTCACTGAGTCCCTTACTATGAGCGGGGTACCTGGTGACAGGTCTACACACATGGTCTCATTTCGTCATCACGACAGCCCTACACGGCGGGCGTGGATGGCCCCAAGTTTACCAGGGGAGAAATGAAAGCGCAGAGAGGTGAACTGATTTGCCCAGGGCCACAGGGTATGTAAGGGGAAGAGTGGGCCCTTGCATGCCGCTGTGTCTGATTCCAGGCGCTGTGTCCTTAAATCAGCGACCCGGGCAGGCTGTGATCAGAAGCAGATGCGGTGGCCGAGAACAGCCGAGCTCAGTGCCATGCAGCCCAGGTGAGCGGGCGGCCTGAGGGCTAAAGGCTGCCCACACCCTGTGCTCCAGCCTCACACCTGGTCCCCACCCTGGCCCCGGCCCTGCCCCAGCCCAAGGCCTTCTGGCTGGAGTCCTCTGGGTACGCAGACATCTGCCTGCGGCGGCTGCTGGTTTCTCTGCACAGCTCTAGCGGGGGGCTTGCCCATCGGCCAGCTCCCAGGAGGGCTTCATCTACAGCCAGAGGCCGGCCTCAGGGGGGTGAGGACCGGTGAGGCAGCTCTCTCCACAGAGAGCTAACACCCTTGGCTCCAAGGGGAGACACTCAATACCAGCGCCCGCCTCCAGCTCCTGTCTCCCTCCCTCCCAACGCACACGATTCCCCATGGGATACGCCAACCTCAGGACTCTCCAGTCAGCCCCCACCAGTGTACCTTGGGCCCATTGTTGGCCCTCCCTGAACCTGCTCTCTCACTGGTAATACACCCAGGAAGAGTCGTCGTGGGAAGTTAAGGCCAGTGTCCAGACTCAGTTCCCTCCTCTCCTCAGTCCCTCACGCGTGTAGCCTGTTCGGGACGCTCTCAGGCCCCCCTTGTTCTCCAGCTTATCATCCTCTCTCCAGTGATGCTTCTGCCTTCTGACTGTCTCCCTCAGCAAGTACACCTGCCCCTCGCTTTCTCAGAGTCTTTGATCTTCTGCCCGTGTCTCGACTTCAAAACACCAGATGGAAAGTGAGAAACGCGCAGCCTTTGCGGTGTTGGGCCGCACCCCCCAGCTCGGCTCCGGGCCGAGTGAAGAGCGGTTCGCCCTGTTTTCCGCCTGTAGACAGGCCCCAGCCCCGCTCTCCCGGCCTCTGCTCTGCCCCTCCAGCTGGGGCCTGGCCCCTGCTCTCTCCCCAGGCCAGCTGGCGGGGCCGGGAGCCTGAGCTCAGGGCAGGAGTGGGGAGGGGGCGGCAGGAGGCGGCGGAGGGCCTGGGGCTACAGAGGGGGCAGTGCCCTCAGGTGGGGGGCAGTGCCCTCAGGTGGGGGGCAAGTGCAGGGGCGGGAAGAGCTGGGGTGGGTGAGGCAGGCAGGGGCAGACTGTCACTGCAGGGCTCAGGGACGGTGCTGTCAGACCGAGAGCAAAGTGATTCCCCAGGGAGACCGCAGGCCCATCCTTGAACCTCGAAGGGACGCGTTTGGACGCCTTGGAGATGGGGAGCGGGAGATGAGGAAGAGAGTCCTCTAACTTCTCCTTCCCCCGCTCCCCCTCCGCGCAATCTCAGCTTCTCCCACTTCCACAAGGGCCCCGGGGCAGAGAGGTTCGGGCCAGGCGGGGCCCCGCGGCACGTCGGGGCGCGGAGCCGTCGGGCGCGCACAGCCCGGGGCGCGGAGGCGGCGGCCCGTCCTTACCTTGCGCGGGGCAGCGGTGGCGCAGGCAGAGGAGCGCGGCCAGCGGCACCAGCAGGCTGGGCAGCATCCTGCGCGCCCCGCATCCTCCGGGGCCCGAGCCGAGCTGCGCCTCCCGCTTCGGGGACACTGAGAACTGCGGGCGGCGAGCCTGGTCCACGCCCGGGGCTGACGTCGGCGGGGCGGGGCCAGGCGGAGGCGCAGCTGCGGGGCGGGGGCGGGGGCGGGGCTCCGGCCGACCCCCACCTCCGGGAGTGCAGTTGGGGTTGAAAGCGGTCGGGTAGCCGCTGGGAGTTGGGGAGGAGATTGTCCCAGGTGATGGGGGCGTGTGCGAGGACACGGAGGGGTCCCCATGATGTCTCCCAGCCTCTTTTGGTTTCTCTTGCCTGAAATCTAATGCCCCCCCCCCCCGTAGTAGCACTCCTGGGCCCTGGGGAGCCCCACATCAGTCACTTATACCTCTGCGTCACTTGACTCTCCTGGGACTTCACTCCAGATGCACCCAAGATGTAAGGGGTGGGAGGCAACACGGTCCGTTTCACTTTTGCTTCAGAGTAGGTTGGTGCAGGAGGGTGGAGGTGTCCCGTCCTGTGTCTGAGGGTCTACCTTGGGAATGGTCAGGGGTGCCCCAGCTACCTGGAGGGTGGAGAGTGGTATGTGCAGGCCCAACAGGGCACCTGGCCAGTCAGGTCCCCCTAAGTGGACAGCTCTTCTTGCCAGACCCTCAGGTCAGCGGGGGTCAGTGGGACTCCTGAGATTTAATGTGTGAGAATGTTTCTGCTCCCGTCCTGGCCGGTTTGGCTCAGCATTGGAGCGCGGGCCTGTGGACCAGAGAGTCCTGGGTTCGGTTCCCGCTAGGGGCACGTACAAAAAAAAAAAAAAAATGTGTCTGCTCCCTGTGTTGCTCAACTGGGAGATTAAGATGGCCAATTGTTCCCAAGGACCCAGGCTTGACCCAAGGGGCGTGGCTGCTTTCCGAAATGACTGTCTCTCCCCATTGATCCCTTTAAGGCGTACACTGTGCTGTTTCTGAACTTGTCTTTGCCTCGTGTTTTGTTAAGTTGTAAGAGTCTAAAAGCTACACCTCATCACTTTGAGAAAGGATCAGGATTCTTAATTCACGCGCACAGCAAATGTGGCTTCACCCAGCTCATTCCGAGCTGGACACCGTGTTGAGGCTGGGATACAGTGGTGATCAAACCAAGGTCCTTTCCCCCGAGAAATGAACACTGGAGCTGGAGACCGAAAGTGAACAGAGATTTTCATGTGCTCAGTGCTCTGGAAAGGGAAGTGCAGGCTTGTGGGGACACAGGAAACAGGCACTCAACCGCAACTGGGGTGGAGGATACAGGAGGCTTCCTGGAGGAGGTGACATTCAAGCTGAGGCTCGAGGGATGAGTAGAAGGTCACTGGGTGAAGAGCAAGCAGAGAGGGGTTCCAAACAGAGGGAAGTGCGTGCTTGGGGATGAGGGAACGTGGGACTTTTGAACACTGGGAAGGGGGTAAGTTAGCATTCCTGTTTCAGGGTGAGAAAAACCAATGTGGACATAGGTTCGTGTGTTGCTCAGGGCAGAGCAGCATTTGGGTGTAGGCTACCCCATAACACCCTGCTGCCTGTTCGAAAGCACCCAGGACAGGAGTTCCGTCCCACGTAGGACCATACCTTGTTTTTCCAGTTCCATTTTGGTTTGCACTGTTATTCACTATTAGTGTTCTGAGAAGTCCACCCTGTGGTTCTGTGACTTCTGGTGTCCACACCAGTCCCGGGACAGATAATAGAAAATAGTTACAGTAGTATCTTTTGTTTTCTGAGCTCTTACTATGTATCAGGCACTATGCTAAGTACCTAACTGTTGTAGCAGGGACTGGCTAGATGCCTAGCCACCCCATTTCCTCTTCCTGGGGTGCCAGGACAACTGTATTTCCTAGCTTCCCTCGCAAAGGCGTGGAATGAGGGACTGGATGGTAACCGACGTGAAGTCAAACTGGCCTGGTCTCTCTGTCCTCGCGAGTCTGTTAGCCAGGTGGAAGGGGCCCAGTGGAGGACTCTGAGGAGATGGAAGGAGCCTGGGTCCCTGAATCACCTCTTGGAGGGGAGCATGCCGAAAAGACACCGACTCCTTGTTAGCCTGTGAGCGGAGCGAGGGGTGAACTTGCGTTGTACCCAGATTCTGGAGTTGTTGTTGCGGCCGGCAGTATTAACCGCCCTGACTAACGCGCAGACACTGTCTCGCTGAATCCTTATTACTCCCTGCCAGCCTGGCATTGTTATCAGTGTTTCACAGGCGGGACATCAGAGACTGTGTTCCTTGTCTGCGTCCCTCGGCCGGTGAGTGGCAGAGCTAACAGCCCAGGTCTCTTCGACTCCAGAGCTCAGAGTTTTTAAAAATGTGTTTTTATTGATTTTTTTAGAGAGCGAGATGGCAACATCACTGAGAGAAAGAAACGTGGATCAGCTGCCTCCTGCACGCCCCCCGCTGGGGATCGAGCTGGCCCCCCGGGCATGTGCCCTTGCCAGCATCCTATCGAACCGTGACCTCTCAGGCCACGGGACAACTGCTCAGCTCATGCTCTGACCACCACATTATCAACGTCCTTCCCAATCTTGGAAGAATTCTTGGGAACGACAAGTGTCTGGCGAGCTGACAGAGAGAAGAGAGGGCGGGGCGGGGGGCACAGCTCAGGGCTGTTCAGCTGGCGAGGCGAATGTGGTCCGCCCCGGGGAACCTGTGGGCAGAGCAGGGTAGGCAGACACCGTGCCCCGTGGCCACATTGGGAAATTGCTAGAGCACATGTTGACGTCCAGCCGGTTCCATTGTCTCATTTTCACTTTACTGCAGCTTGGTCTTCGAAATGATGCTTCCAAAGAGGCCTCGCTGGGGCAGGGTGGGCATCTGCGCGGGGGTGGGGGGGGGCCTGTGCTCCAGTGTGCTGACAGGCAGTTTCTGTCCCGTCCTGGCGATGAGGGAAGTTCCAGACCCTGTGATCATTGTGTCAGAACTGCACAGACAGGGACAGTGCCCTAGATGGAAGCGACCCCCATGGGGAAACGGAGAGACGGAAGCTGCTGGGACACTTGGTTGTCCTTGGGTCATGGAAAATCACAGGGGAGAGATGAAGGGGTCACCAAGGGCCAGCCCCAGCCCCAGGAACCTACAGAACCTAGTTGACATCTGCCTCCCGTCACGGCGGCCTGACTCCCCCCTGATGGCGTGGGAAGGGCTCGGAAGGGACAGAATCCCCTCTGAATGTCTCTCTCTGCTCAGTTTCAATGGTGACTCACACTCGAATGGGGAGTGGTTTGAGTTTCCGCGGGTGGGGGACAGGCACCCTCGTCAGGTTTGGAGCAGGAGACACGGCGGGTTTGCATCTTAAATGGAAGAGGGAACCCAGCCTGTGCAGGTGACGGGCCAGGGGAACTGGGCCAGTTAGTGGCATAATTGAAACCTTGAACTCCTGTTGGAAGTTCAGCTCTTTGCCTGACAGGCCACAGCAGCTAAGCTCGTGAAACGATGACGACGGCGTGAGGGCGCCATGCCCATCAGCCCAGAGGCAAGGGGAAGAAAGGCTGATTTCCCAGGTGAGGGACCTTCCCTGCTGGTCCTTGAATTGGCTCCACTGGGGCTAACAGCCTCTCACGCATGCAGACTGCCTGGGACCTCACTCGGTTCGTGGTCACTGCTACGGCTCACGAGGCCGCTGGGCGGAGCCTGTGGCTGGCAGCAGGAGGCCCAGTTCTAGCCCCAGCTTGGCCACCTGTGCGCCCTGCGGTCTGTCCCTGGACCTCTGGTAGCCACTGACAAGATCAGGTTAATTCTAACCTTCCTGGGCTGCTGTAAGGCTCAATACAGAAGTAACAACACAACTGATCAGGGCTTCCCAAATGAGAGTGGGTGACAGTAGAAATATTTCGCAGGGAGGCCTCTCCCCGACCAGAGGAAGCCAGTCCCCTCCGCCTTGTTTGCTTGTCTGTGCTCATGTGGTCTCTCTCCGGGCTGTCTGCAGTGCCGAGCCCCACCCCAGGACGACGGGGGCCTTCTACTGCACGTGGGACCCCTCAGCCCCCTCCAAAGTGATTTTTAAGGAAACCACCTTGTCAGGAAGGATGAAGACCTATCCATCCCCGTCGCTTTGTAAACTTGGGATGCAAGAGTTTAAGAACAGAACATTGATGAAAACAGCCTGTGTCATTGCAAGAAACAGCTGTGTCTTCCCTCCCCAGCCTTTAGGAATGTCATTTTCCTTTCGTTCTAAACTGAACAGCCATCTGAGCCTCCACCCCACGATTCAGGAAGTCCATCTGCTCTTGGGTCTCCATCCCCAGGTGGTGTGGGAGAGTCCGGGAAGCCTTGCATACCTAGAGCCGCCGGGCAACCCCAGAGCTCACCTGCTCGCGTCTCCTCCTGGGACCTCCGGGCTGTGGCTAGTTGCTTCAGGTATGGGCACAGCGCCCAGAAATGGAAAAATGTCCTCGGGTGAGGATAAAGAAGAAAATCGGTTCTTAAATGCTGCCGGAGGCTTGTGAATAACAAAGTAGCAAAGAGAGAGCTCACCCTGCTTCCAGAAGGAGCCACACGGAGCTCTGGCCGGCTCGGTGCCATTCTGAGAACTTCCCTGCAGTCACGGGGCAGGGGGACACCAGCTCGCCCCCGGCCTTCGGAAATCTCCAGGCCTCTCCGACCACCCTTCTCATCCCCAGAGAGAGGGAGGGCCTTCCTTCCCCTGCTTAACGCCAGCGTATTACTAATTTTTCTTTTAGTTTTTTTTCTTTATTGATTTTAGACAGAGAGGAGGGGAGAGGGAGAGAGAGAGATAGAAACATCGGTGAGAGAGAACATGGACTGGCCGCCTCCTGCACGCCCCCCACTGGAAATCGGGCCCACAACCTGGGCATGTGCCCTAACCGGGCATCGAACTGACGACCTCTTGGTGCATGGGTCACACTCAACCACTGAGCCACACCGGCCGGGGTAATTTTTCTTTAAGATAATTCACAGCAGGAATATCAATTTCCTTCAAGGGGGATTCCAAGCACCTCCCCAAAGGTATAGTCTGGCTGCAGTGGCCAGT